TAATAATAAAAGCATAACATGCAAATTAGACCAGACAGCTAAATGACCTTCTGAAGGAAGCTGCTGTAGCAGAAGCTGAGGCAGAGGCAGTTAGGGGTTATCAGGCAGGCATGCAAGCAGTTAGGGGTGATTAGGCAGGCAGGCAGATAAGCAAGGGCAATTAGCCAGGCAGGCAGGCAGAGTGGTTAGGGGAAATCAAGCAGGCAGGTAGGCAAGTGGGTAGGAGCCAGTGGTCCCAGATTGAGGGAGGGTACAGGCCAGGCTGAAAGACATCCCCCCTGCATGAATTTTGTGCATTGGGCCTCTAGTTTCCTTATAAATGACATGGGATGCCTGTCATTTTGATGTGGCCATTAGCAGATACGCAAACAAAAGTAGCTATTGCTTGCTGGGTTATTTTGTGGCAGGCATCACATGGACTATTTTGCAGTGTTATCTTCTCAATTCCTCAGATCAACTTTTCAAGCTGATTTTATTATCTCCAAATCACAGACAGGAAAAGTGGAAACTGGGGCAAGGGAAGAAAGCTGCTCAGGAGGCGAAGCAGGACAAAAGACCAGGACATCCTAGCTCCCACCTGTGGGAGTAACTACTGCATCTTGTTGACTCATTTGCTTTGAGCGTGGAACTTCTTCCAAGTCTTGTAGGACACCCTGCTAGCAAAGCACAGGCTAGGAACCAAACCAGGTCTTTGGGAAACTGAAGCCAGAACTGTGCTCTGAAGCCACTATCTCTTGCCCTCAAGACCAGAGCAGGTACCAGGAGTGCAGCAGAGGGGATGGTGAATTTACAGCAAGCTGGAGCCAGGACATCAGGGGCTGAAAGTTTGTCCCCTAATTGAAAAACAGATTCTTTACTTAGCAATGGGTGGAGAGACTCTCCTAGGTCCAAATTCTTCCATTGGAAAGGGCAATTCTCATATCCTACAAATTTGATCATCTTTGTGTGCATGTTATGTGCATACATGTGAATTCATGTATAAGGCAATAGAGCTAAGAGATAGCCTCTGAAGGAAAAAAATCCAAATCCTGATCTATGATGCAACTTGAGAGATTGCGGTCAAGTCACTTAACCTCACCTGTGCAGTGAGGCATGTTGGTGCCTCCACGCACAGCTGTTCTAAGTACCTGCAGGTGCATGCAATGACTGAGCTAGAGGGAGCTGTTGCAAGAAGAAAAGCACAGAACTTTCTGTGTTACCCACTGGGTCTACCTCCAGGTCAGGATCCCGTTCAATCAGACCCAATCTGAGAGTCACCATCCCTTGGCAAACCACTCAGACCCCTTACCTGCAATTTCACCCCGGCTCTGACACTGCTGAGCCACACCAGGCCAGTCATCAAGCGAGGCAAGGGAGCCTGCCTGTGTTTACCGCCTTTGACAAATGGGCGCTCATCTCCTCCTGACAGGTTCTCCCCCTGACTGATCCATCAGCCTCTCCTCTCATCACCCGAATCGCAGCTTCATAATAGCACTGAATTCGGGCGCATTTTACACCACAAATAAAAATGAATTTAAATGCCTCGGTTCCCCACCAGCAACACAGGTGCTGTAAATGTCAGGCGCGTGCAGTTGTGCGGGGCCTTAGAGCTGCACTGAGTGATGGGCTGCCTGCCTGGTGTCCCCTCTGCTGAGCCTGCTTGAGCTCCGTGTTGCTCCCCTTGGGAGGGAGCGGCCTGTGCCTCTACCTGCCACTTCAAGGTGCAAATGCAGCCAGCCTCTCAGGTCACCTTGGGGCATCTCCAGGGAGTTCCAGAAATGGCCTGAAGCCATCCAAAGGCAGGTCCATTCCCAGGGCTCTGCTAACGGGTGGTCTCAGGAGCAAAAGAGAAACATAAACCAAAACCATGTTCCAATGTGCACCGTGCATTTCTTCATAAACAACCAGGCGAGGTTCTCCAAACAACACAGGAGGGAAAAGAAACATCTCTCATTCTGTCCACATTCTCAGATTGAGCCCAGGCTGTGCCGACCAAGAAGAGCGATTTTCTTTTATTATGCAATGATGAGAGCTTTCCTCCATTCCCGAGGTTCAGTTTGTCCCCCTTCATTACATCTGGTCTAGGATTCAAGGGGAAAGGGAGTCATCTCCAGGTAAAAAGCCCACCCAACGGGATCAGGTGTGACACGGGAGGGGCCGCCAGAGAGAACACGTTAGGCTCCCGAGTAAACCTGAGACTCTGTGTTCCCTAAAGTCCTATTATCAACAGTCACCCATAGAATAGATGTGAGCATGCAGGTACATCCTGGGGAGACCAGAAGGAAGGGAAGGTGAAAGAAATAAGAAAATCAAGTTTAAAAGATAAAAAGGAGTTTTTCTTGGGAAGCCACGGAGCCCTAGAGACCCCTGATCAGCTTCTCAGTGAAGGAGGCTTTAGAGAAAAGTGCACTTTCCTTCAATGCTCTTGGCTCTCGCTCTGTAAAACCTGCTGGCCACAGGCAGCCTCTGCAGCCACAGGCCCAATGATTATTTTGGCACCTCTGTCATCTCTTGTCATTTTAATTCCACTTTATCAAATCACTGATGTTGCCAGAAGCATCCAGATTACATGGAGAGACACACACACTTGCAGGAGCGAGCATCACCACTCCTGCAAATTCCATAATTATACGTCAAGGTAGCGGAGTACCGGGGTGACGTCACTGAAGCTGCCAGGGCTGCCATCATGTCATGCACGAGGGAAGGGCTGGCATCCCTCTGCTGTAGAGGGGTGTGGGAGGGAATGCCCTCTTAGGTGATTAGGTTTTGTATCCTGACACTTTCATTAAGAGACAGGACCTTCATAGACAGACTACCTCCAACACCTAAGATCCACCCCCAATCACATTGGGTAACCCAGAGAAGCAATACCAAATGGACACGTCACAGAAATAAATAAATCAGGAAATAATCTAGATGGAAAGCAAAGCTCTGTGGAACAGAAGAAAGACGAAGTCCTCAGGGAGAAAGACAGTAAAAACAGACCAAGTATCAACGTAGTTATATCTCTAGGAATCATCACTACCAACTGCAGCCATGGTTGGGCTAATTCATGTATCATTCATCCTATGATATCAAGTTCAGGAAACAAAAGCAGAATGATTTTTTACATATATGTTTTTATTGATTTCAGAGAGGAAGGGAGAGGGAGAGAGCAATAGAAACATCAATGATGAGAGAGAATCATTGACTGGCTGACTCCAGCACTCAACCCCGGCATGTGCCCTTGACTGAAACTGAACCCTGGACCCTTCAGTCTGCAGGCAGACACTCTATCCACTCAGCCGAAAACACCTAGAGTCAGAAGAACGATTTATAAACAAGACTTCCTTTTAAGTGTCTGACTCAACCCACCATCCATGATAAAGCAGAAAAACACACATGTGTGCATGTACGTGTGTGTTACCCATTGTTGGAAAACAGCTGAAGCTTGTACAGAATGATAAATATGACTCCCCCACCAGTAAGCACCACAGAGCAGCCATGACCTGGGGTGTCACTCCCATCCTGACATAGAGACCGAGGCCGCCAAGAGGCAGGATGGAGCACTGTGGCCAGCTCTCACTGCCCCGAGCTTGTCTGAGTTGCTCATTTATCTTGTTGGTGATGGGACTGATGTTGTTTTAACAGCATCAGTTCTCCCGGCATTTTTCAAAAACTACTGGCAATGAAAGTTTAAATAAATCAAAAAAGAAAAGAAAAAGTATTGGGCACACACATGTTTGTGAATTCCATAAAAGCCAAAGGGGAACAGAAACATCATGAACTTGGAAGCAGGACTGAACCTGTGTTCACCTTGCCATGAGCGAGTGCCTGTGGCAGCTTACTGAGGGCAGGGCTGGTGGGAACAGGTGAAAAATCTCGTGGACACGCGGTCAGCCCCAGTGGCGGTTTGTCCCACTAACAAAGCACAGGCACTCAAGCCACCAGCAAGGAAACGTGCCATGAATGCAAACCTGAATGGAAACACCTTTGCCTGCCGGCTAGAGCAATACCCAACCCCAACTCTGAGAAGATCACGCAGAGGGGATTTAAGCTGCCATGTGTTATACTCCTTAATGTAATGTATGGCAATCGCCTTTATTGAAAAAGCAAAATTTGGGGTTGAAACGATTTCCACCAACTTACCCACCAGCAGACGACAGAACTATCACAAAGTCAGGGCTGAAAAGCTCTGCTGGAAATAATGACGGCCTTGGACAACGCGGTACAGGCGCAGAGAGAAACATCTTTGGAAAGTGTGGGATGACGCCTGGTACACAGCCAGGAGCTATGTGGCCTCAATCCCCTTATTTGACCTCTTTGGATCAAGGCATTAAAGGTACAATGTTATCTGCTTGGATGCACTCTGGACAGAAACGTCTGCAAACTCCTGTCAATAAAGAGGGACCATGGGAATATTAAAGTGAGGAGCCGGGTCTACCAGGGCCTTTGACTGAGGGGATCCATACCAAGTGCAGCAAGAAGATAAATGGGGACATGGTGGAGGGGGGGGGGACACTAAATGTGTAGGCAATGTCCTCCTCTTGCTGCCCAAGCATCTCATGGAAATAGATGTCGCCGCTCCTTTATTGCATCAGGATGGACATGGAGGCAGATTCTCTCCACCCAAAGAGCATATTTCAAATATAAGAACACACCCAGAAAACCCCAATACTGTATTATACATCCTATATATTCTATTTAATATTACTTAATAATATGCACTATGGGACATGATAATCAACCATATTCAACTACAATCAGCACCAATTTTTAAAATAAATTGCATTATACACTCTTCATCAAAGTCATCGGAAATAACACAGAGCAAGAAGGGTACAATGAACCATTTAAATCATGATGGTCTTTAAAAATAAATTAATTTTTAAAAATAAAGCATGATTGTCTTGACGTATCTAACATCAGCACGCACATGGCCTCTGCAAGCCACCCTCCAGCAAGGCATGTCTTAAACACTGCTTTAGATCACCGTGTTCTTGTTTTGTTTGAAACCAAGACAATGAAAAATATCGACTTACCTTTCTGTCCTCTATTTCCGCACAGGTATTGCAGTCTGCTTTGATATCCTGAAAGGAGGAAGAGAGAGAGAGAGAACAAGAGTCAGACCTGTGGCCAGGGAACACTCAGCAGCGTCGTTGAAATGCCCTTTAAAATAATAAAGAGCTCTCCCTCCCAGCAGTGCTTCTCAAGCCATTGCTCTTTATAGCGCTTTTCAGAAGAATATGCCTTGGTGTTTGCATTAGAGACATATGGACGTCATAACTAAGCTTTATCACATGCAGATGTGGGTAAAGGCAAAAGCTATGGATCAGAGGCCACAGCAAAGAGAAGCTGATGGTTCATATAATAATATGCTCCCCAGACACCTTTGTTCACATCAGCAGACTGCCCTCAATCAGACATAATGTCTCTCTCCCATTTCATATTTAGAATAGTCACATCATCCTCTCTTTAGCCCAAAACCATCCTTGTCTATTTTTTATCTTCCCATCCATCCATCTATGCACCATCCATTCATCCATCAGTCCATCCATCTTCCATCCACCCATCCATCCATCTATCTATCCATCCACCCATCCATCCATCCATCCATCCACTCATCCATCCATCCATCCATCCATCCATCCATCCATCCATCCATCCACTCATACATCCATCATCCATTCCTCAATTATTCATCCATCCATTTATCCATCCATATTTATTGCACACCTACTTTTCTAGGCATTTTTCCTTGTTGCTCTTAAATGTAATGGTGTGGGGAAAAAAACCCACATGGTTTCTACCTTTAAGGAACTCTCCAGTTAGACAGAATGGCAGATACACATACAAGCAACTGTGACATTCATTCAATCATTCAAAAAATACGCATTCAGTACCTCTGACTTGCCAGGCTGTGCTCTAGGCAGAGAAGATTCAGTAACATTCAAAACACATGGAGGGCCTGCCCTGATGCTACTGACTTTCTGTTATACGAGATATACAATAAAAAGAAATGAGAATTGCTATTTTAAAAGAGGATGTGTACTATGGAGAAAATAAAGAGGGGAATGAGGAAGGGAAATGCTGAGAGGAAGAGAATAAAAATTACAATTTTAAAGAAAATCAGCAACTGAGTAAAGACTTGAAGAAAGGTGTGAAATGAGCTTGGGGCCAGTTGGGGAGGAGCATCTTGGGGGGAAACACATTGGACACGGTCAAGCCAGAGGCCACTGGCTGGTGTGGGGATCAACATAGGGAAGCAGTAAGAGGCAAGATCAGTGAAGAACCACTCAGAATCACTGTTTATAAAATGTTATTAAAATATACATAACATTTACTATTGTAACCATTTTTCAGTGTACAATTCAGCAGCATTAAGCATTGTTGTGCAACCATCACCAAAATCTATCTACAAACTTTATATATAATTTGCACCCAAGAATAATTTTTAAAATTGATTTTTAGAGAGAAAGGGATGAAAGGAAAGAGAAAGAGAGGGAGACATTGATGTGAGAGATAAACATTGATTTGTGGCCAAGTGCCTGGACCCACGTACAACCTAAGTGATGCTCTGACTGGGAATTAAATCTGCAACCTTTTGGTGTATGGGATGATGCTCCAACCAAATGAACCCTAACTCCTAGGGTGGCTATATTTTGGAGAAGGGCCTCTAAGAAAATAAGTAAGGTTAAATGAGGTGATAAGGATGGGGCCCTAATCTGTTAGAATTAGTGCCCTTATAAGAAGAGAGACCTCAGAGATTGCTTGCTCCCTCTCTTTGCAGGCACACAGGGAGGAACTGTCATGCAGGACTCAGAGAGAAAGTGGCCATCTGCAAGTGAGGAAAGAGTCTTCACTAGAACCCAGCCCTGTTGGCACCCTGACTCCAACTTCCAGCGTCCAGAGCTATAAGAAAATGGCTTCCATTTCTGTTGTGGAAGCCATTCAGTCTGTATATGTTGCCATGGTAGCCAGAGTAGATTCAAACAAGGTTCCAATGATCTGCAAGGCACAGTCGGAGGCCACGGTTTTTTCACTCATGCTCCTGTGTTCAACACCAAGGTCTCTGACTGACCCTGGATATTGAGTCAGAACATGCCTTTTACTCTAAGAACCCTCTTTGGAATTCATGCTCTAAGAACCATAAAGAGAAAGCAGACCCTAACTGGTTTGGCTGGAGCTCAGGCTGTGAACTGAAAGATCCTGGTTCAATTCTGGTCAAGGGCATATACCTTAGTTGTAGGCACATCTGTAATAAAGGGTGTGCAGGAGGCAGCTGATCCGTATTTCTCTCCAATCAATGTTTCTAACTCTCTATCCCTCTTCCTTTCTATCTGTAAAAAAATCAACAAAATATATTTAAAAAGAGAGAGAAATGAGAGTTTATCTTGGTATGGGAGTGTTAAAATCATAGATTATTTTTAAATATAAATGGTGCCATAAAGGAACAAGGTAAGAAACAGTAGCTTCCTGCGGCTTTGGTGTGTGTGTTCCCGCTCATTCCCCCAGTGAAAATGTGTTAAATTTGCAGAGAGAGAGGCCCATATCCAATTCAGATTCACCCACACAGAAGTGGCAGGTGTTAACTTCCTAACCAAGTCAGTAACCCAGAGGCAGGTTATGTTTCTAATCTGCCACTGAGGACCCACAGGCTCAGAAGAAAGCCATCTGGCTGCATCAGCACTCTTGCCACCTCCCTAAAATTATTCGATTTCTTCTTGTCAGGATTAATTTACTAAGCCCAGGCTGGATTTTTTTATTTAGATGATATTGTTGGTTTGTCATCCGCTGCAGATCTATGCAGGAGGCGCCCTGGGGGGTGGCACTCGCTTCGGAACAATGTTGGACTCAAATTGGAAAAATGCCACCTTGGCAGGAACAAATTATTGTTCGAATCACTCCAAGTAGAGCTGATGTGGCCAGATGGGCTCTGGCCTGAACTTTTCCAAACCAGAGTGGCTGCCTAAGAACCTTAGTCCCATGGAAGACTTTGCTGGGAGGAGAGCACAGGTACTTACATGCTAAGTAGGAATGGGAAGCCACACACAAATTATTGTCAATCAATCCATTTCCCTACAATCCAGGGTGCTCTTTTCCATAGCCGGACATCCCAACAGTGACTCAGTCATGGACAACCCATGCCTCCCATTCACAGGGCCCCACCACACTTGTGGTGAGATGGTGCCTCATGTCCCCATCTGTAAAAAGATAATAACGATTGCCTCACGTGTCCCCACATGAGGCAAAGACCTTAGCATATGGCAAGTCATTGACCAATGTTGGCTGCCGCCCTGGTATCCTTCAGACGTCTTTGCAAGACTTGCTTCCCACGGAGTAATGAGACTTAAAAATGTTTTGTTTTTAAACTTTTTTTCTCCTAAGCCTTCTGAGTTCTTCTAGTTTCCAGTCATCAAAGTGCTGGCTGGCTGTTTTCTCCCCTGATAGAGATTTATTTTCTTCTGCATGTTTGAGTGTGGGTTGTTTCTAAGGATTTCTGTAGGTCAGGGTTATGTATGCCCACTGTGTAGGGAGGGCCCCATCAGCATGGATCCTTGATCATTGGTCCCCGTGAACGGGTGGAGAGAAACCTCTGCCACTGATATGCCAGAGGCCTGGGAGGATTCAGAAGGTAGGAGCCTGTGGTGAGTTGAATAGTAACCACCACCCCAAGATCCGCACCTCCCCTTCCCCAATCCTGGGAAAAGTATACCCAGGTCCTCTCCCCAGAAACTTGTGCAGGAGACCTCATTTGGAAAAAGGTTTTTGCAGATGTGATTATGGATCTTGAGATGAGGTCATCCCGGGTGATCTGAGTGTCCTCTTAAAAGCCAGGGAGAAAGATGACCTTATGATGGCAGGCAGGGACTGGAGTGATGTAGCCACAAGTCAAGGAAGCCAGAGCTACCAGAGCTGGAAGAGGCAGGAAGGACCCTCTCCCAGAGGCTCTGGCAGAAGTACACCTGCTGACACCTTGGTTCCTGGCTTGCAGACTGTGAGGATAGATCCCTGTTGTTCTGTACACCAGTGGCAGTTGTTTCACAGACACCGCAGGGGACTAACCAAGGCCTCCAGGAGCTTCCAATGCAAATCTCTTTAGTTTGATATCTATCCCTGAGCAAAGGAAGGGGTGACCCTGGGACCACTCATGCAATCCATTCCCTTTAACCAGAGACCCCAGGGCAGTCCTGGGTTGTGCTTGGGGGCCCTGTGTTTGCAGATGAGAGTCTCTGGAACTTGTGAATGATTTCAGGGGTCAGTCCTGTTGGGACAATGGAAAGAAGGGACCAGGAGGTTGCATCTGAGTGGGAGCTGAGTAAGGGTGCTGCATCTTGGACACAGCACTGTTCTCCTGGCGTGGGATGCTCACAAAGTCCCGGAGTGATTCCTAGAAAACACTTGCAGCTTACATCATCTCCGGGGTTCTGGGGAGACACAGCCTAGGGTTCACCTGACAAGGTTGATCAGGCTTATGATCATCTGCCCTTCTTCTGGGAAAGACACCCGAGTGTATCCTTCCTTTTCAAAAGGAAATAAAAGCTATGGCAAGATGGATGATAACATCACAAAAAAGTACCTTTGGACACCACACTCCAAAACTAATTCAGGAGCACATTTCCCATTTGGAATCAAAGTTATGGAGAAGAGGAAAACTAGTTTTGCCTCCATGCATCTAGGTTCTTGGCTGAAGGCCCCTCCCATAATAAAAAGCAAATTAACAGAACAGTGCAGGGAGAGACCCAGGCATACAAAGTAACTCCCCACAGGGAATGGCCCAAGCCACCACCTCAATTGCCATCCCCAGCTAAAGACAAAAGATGTTGGGGGTGCTGGGAGGTTATCTGGAAAAGCAGAATAATCAAGGGAATGGATGCTGTGCAGATTTAAGTCATTATCTCCATTGGTGAAAGTTTCTGGCCATTTATCATCCTTCTTTCCCTGGGACAGAGGGAGATACCCTTACAAGAGTAGGTTTCCCTTATAAATATAAATTTCTCTTACAAGAGGGCAACTTCTATTCTGTTTTCAGAGCTTCTCCTGAATCTGCTGTTTCTTAAAAATAATCACCCTCAAACAATCCTTATAC